GATTGAAAATTTTTATACATTTTTTCACCAGAAGTCACCGTTGATAGTCACGTGTGACTACTCTGCAAATTTTTTGTTCGTTTTGTGTTAATTGATACGCTAGGGTAATTTTATTGTAATTTATTTTTTTTGTGTTACTTGATATGTTAGTGTAAGTTTCAATGTGTTTGTTGTGGTTGAATTGAATTCACATGATATCATGTGATTTGTATTTACAGGTAGTGCAGATTTATTCATCAGAAGTAGTCACATAGTAGTCACATAGTAGTCACATAGTAGTCATATAGTATTCTGTGACGCTTTCTTCTTCATTTCAGAAACCAGATTCGAATGTGACTACGCAACTCAACTTCACTGGTTTATCACTACCGAAACACAGCTACTACAGAATACGACTATTAATGGATAAAGTGTGTGGACGATTTTGTATCAAATATCTTCGATTTTGGAATGTGACTGCAGATTGGAAGAGAGGGTTTCGATTTTGTTTGCCGGTTTTTGATTTGGGAGAAAACCAAATCTCTGTGTGTTATTCAAGACGATGCAGTTTTTTTTTTTTTTAATTTATTTTATTTAGAAGCAGTTTTATTAGGAAAAGTAAATAATTAAACCTAATTAGGAGGATTAGGTGCCTAATTATTAGGGATTTCAAAATATTGGATAAATATAAAAAATAAACGTGACTTACTAGAGGGGTAAAAATGGAATTAAATATTCTAGGGGGTTTTCACAAAGAAAGAATTATGGTATGGACATATCACTAGTTTTTATCTATAAGAGGGGTGTATTGCTAATGACCCCTATTATATATTATATCTATATATATATATATGTATGTATATCCGATAAACCCACCATCAATAATCCATTGCTCCATACAATTTCAAAGAATATTTTACTCTCCAGAAAAACCTGTACCTCACATCAACAGCGCCCCCTCTTTCCTTTGAATCTTCATTTTTTTCGCCGGAAAAGAGATGAGTTCTTCTGAAATCCTGAATTCCGGCAAGTTCGCCGGCGGAAGGTCTAACTTCTCGCAGACCTGTAACCTTTTGAGTCAGTATTTGAAGGAGAACGGCAGCTTCGGAGATCTGAGACTTGGATTGACTCCTGAATCGGCTGAGCCCAAAGGTATTTTTAGGAAAAAATTGTATTTCCTTTTCGATTTTAACCTAATTTAATTTTGTGTGTTGCTAGATTTGGTTTCCGATTTTGCTGGATTTTTTTTTGTTTTGTGGTGTTTCTATGGAAGAGATTATATTCATCTGATTTTATTTTTTGGAAATTAAACAGGGACTATGAATTTGTTGCCGATGATTGAGAAATCGGATCAGAACTCCGGCGCCGGAAACTTCATGAATATGCTTCCCCAGCTCGTCGCCGGCGGAGTAGAAACACTGGATAAATCCGATAGGTAATTAAAATTCCCCTTCACATGTGTTGGAAGAAAAAAATGCGTTTCCTTTTCTTTTTATATATTATATTTTGATAAATTTCTGAGAAATAATTGTGTGATTTTCCATTTATGCAGTGGTACCAGATCCGAGAATGAAACCGGGCAGATGACCATATTTTATGCGGGTCAAGTCATAGTATTCAACAACTTTCCGGCGGAGAAGGCCAAGGAAATCATGTCATTAGCCACCAAGTCTAGCGCCGCCGCACAGAAGCTCCATCCCGCCGCCTTTGCTCCGGCGATTCAGAAACCGACGGAATCCGCCACCAGCACCCCGAATCTCAGCCCAACTTTTGGGATTCAGGACCTTACCCGCCGCCCTACTCAGCCAGCAGTTGGTTCCGGTAAGCTGCTCATAATTAATTAATTATTCCCAGAAAGTTTCGGATAAGAATCCGTTCAAATGTTCAATTTAATTTATGATTTTTTTTATTTTTTATTGGCAGATTATTTACCAATTGCGAGGAAAAAATCATTGGCCCGATTCCTCGAGAAGAGAAAAGATAGGATCACAGCAAACGCGCCATACCAAGCAAGCAAACCGGCGGCGCCACCGCTCAAGGCGGTGAAGACAGAGACCAGCTGGCTGGGACTGGCTTCTCATCAGTACACCCACCAAATTCAGCGACAACAATAGAAATCGTTTGGCAGTAACGAGTTGTACCCTTTGAGCTTCTGTTTGTACTTTTTAGCTGGTTCCGAATTCAGATCTAACTGTTTGATCCATTTCATTATAGTTTTAGAGAAGGGAAAATTGCAATATTGCCCCTTCGATATAGTTTTGAATCAATTTCCTCCTCTTTTTCTTTTTCTTTTTCTCTCTCTCTCTCTCTCTCTTTTTTTTTTTTATTCGATTTTGCGATAATGTAATTATCTATATATGTGATGATACCCAATTTGTTATCCATGTGTTTTGTCTCGATTTCATATGCCAATTCAAATGGTTTTCTTCTTTAATTTAATTTGATACATATATATAGGGTAAATTACATTCATCACAAAGTCTTCCATAATTACATCCATCCCCTTGCTATTTGTAAAATTTTTACATTAACAGTGAATGTAAGAAATTCTCAAACTTCAGAGGGGCTGAATGTAGTTTTTCAAAATATAAGGGGTTTCTTCATGATTATACTTTAAATTAGGGCGTTGGGTGTAATTATCCTATATATAAAAATAAGTTGGAATAAACCCAAATTATTGCACAGCCAAACAAGTCACAAAGAAAAGAAAAAATAAAAAAATACCGACAGGGCACGCGGTTTTGAAAAGCAGAATAGGGAGACGCGTTGTTTAGGGGGAAAAAGAAGCGTGCGTAAGTTGTCAACAATTTGCACATGGTCTATACCTAATTATTTTAACCCCAAAAAGTGGTCCCATTGTTTAGTAGTTCACGTCTAATATAAAATTGGTTACTATGCGTTTTTCAATGAAACGTGTGTTTATATATTTATGCTTTAAATGTACCTATTTCCCTGATACCTTTTTTATATTATTAATTTTATTTAATTTTTTTTTTAATCCTTTTTCTGATTATATATATATATATATATACACACACGCAGTAATTACGAGTCTGGTAGAATAAACTATATACAGCCAATTTTTATTCTTTTTTATTTCATGTTTATTTGGCTTGAAATTAATATATATAAAACATAAATGATAAATCAATTCAAAATCCAAAGCCATTGGGAAAATTATAGTCAACCATCACTTATTGTTGGACTAGTTAGGTTGGGCCCTTATTATATTAAGCCCAATTCTAAATCTTATCTCTTCCCAAAAATTTTCTCTTAAAATTCAAATCCAAGCCAATGATTGTGAGAGTACTATGACAATTAATAAAATAAACAGAAATATATAATTTTTATTTTTATTTTTGATAATTATTAATTAACCGTCATCATCACTAAATTGTTAGTTAAATCAGTTATACTCAATTAACCCAATTAAGATTGCAGAACCCCATTACACCATCTCTCTCTCTCTCTCTCTCTCAAGCTGGCGGAGGAGGAGCCGCACGATCGGTACAAAAGTATACACTGGCATCTACTGGAACGGCGGAGCATGGATCCCCGGCCACCATTAATGATGTGGGAAAAAGCACAATATCAGATGTATCAAGACAACCCTGAAACACTTCTCTGGCATCAACAACAGCTCCACCACCACCTCCTCCAAGAACAGCGCCGGAATCAAGAACTCGGCCGACAACTCCAGCGCTTCAACACTCAACAACAGCACTCGTCGAAGTACATTCAAGAACTCCAGCGCCGGAATCAACAACTCCAGGACCAGAACCAACAACTACTGCAGCCGCCGGAAAATCAAGAACTGCAGCCGCCGGAAAATCAAGAACTGCCGCAGCATATCTCAAATGGAAATTTAATTCCGTCCGGTCCTCGATCAACTTCTTCCGGCACTAATGTGTTCGTCGGTTCCGTCTTATTATCAGTGTAATTCCCTTCATTTAATTTAATTTAATTGGGATTTATTATTATTATTATTTCCTTAATTCGATTTTCTCTGTCTTCCAAATATATTTCCATGCAATATAATTTGAATATTTTCTTTTCATATATTTAATTTCATTTTCTGGTAATTATATATTAATGACATTCAGTTTGATTATTTGCAGGCCGAATACTGGCCGAGAACGTAAAATGCTTAACCCGTCGCCTGCTGCTGATGCTGAGACAGAGGACGACAACGTGACGTCGTCAAGTATGTATATATATATATGCATGCAGATACATATTTAATTTATATCTAGAAATTCATTATATATTTATTTATATGTGATGCTTAATTATATATATAAGTAATCTTTCGACATATACGTGTGGCAGATCATGACGTCAGAATTCACGTCAGCGCTCTTGGTCCGGAGATTACTAATCCTCAATTATACGAACACTTTTCTAAGTATCGTGGTTTTTTGTACGTTAATTTTTCGATTACTCCAACCTAATTTGTAATTAATTACGTATTTAATTAGTTAGAACGAATTGTTAACATGATATGTATGTTCCATCTTTAATTAGAGGCGCACAGCTCGGGCGGAATACCAAGAGTGGCCGATCCAAAGGCTTTGGATTTGTTTATTTTCGTACTGAACAGGTATATCTTAATAATACTCAATTATCATTAATTAATACTATTATTGATTTCCTATATACATTTATCTCTTACATTGACAATATAATTAAATTGTTCATTTGTTTGTTTTAAGGATGCTGGAATTGCTATTAATGAAACCAATGGTGAGATTAATGTTTTAATTCAAATATTATTCATGCATATATAATTACTAATAATAGCTGAACATGCACGTAATATATGTAGTTTATTGAATATGCATGCATGCTGCAGAGTAGTTATTTGTTGTTAATATATATATATATATATATATATATATATATATATATATATATATATATATATATATATATATATATTGGTGATGTATGTAATTATTTAATTAAATTTATAGGGAAATGGCTTGGAGGCACACGAATCCAGTGCACACGGGCGCGAGATCGTAAAGCAGCTGGTGATGTGGCTCCGAAAAATAATTGGACTTGTGTCTTTGTTGACAATCTTCCTCCTCGAGTAATTAATTAGTACTGCAAAAACTTCTGAATTATTATTAATGTAATTATATAATAATTTATTGATTTAATGTTTATTGTTATAATTAGGCGACAGAAAACGGAGTGCGTAGTTATTTCGAAGGATTTGGAACAGTCGAGATGTCGACTTTGATAATATGGAGAAAGGCTTCTGTTTCATTTGGTACAGCACCCATGATGAAGCAGCCAATGCTATAAAGCTTGCCGATAATGCACTATTTTTCGACAACCCGTTTATGGTATGTATGTATATATGTCTG